TTGATGTTGTTGTGTTCTCTGAGCTGGATAGTTAATTTGCGAAGCTTTCATCACCCTACTGGGTGACATCTTCAGCGCATACTTCAATTTGAAGTGAGCTTTTAGATTTCTCCACGAGTTTATTAATCATCTCTCCTGGCGACCTTGGACGTGATTGGTTGTTTTTGTCTGTTTTCACACCTTCTAGGTTACTTGTATTGTCACTCATTGTTTCTTTGGCTTGAACTTTGACCCTTTGTGTGTGACGTTTCTTTCTTATCGGTTGATAAATTTTGTCTATCTCGATGTGTCTATTGATTGATGATTCACTGGAATGCCAAGCTTCTAAAAATTCTCTAGCATTCTTGTTGTTTCCTCTGTCTAGTATTTGAACGTTGTCCCAGTCGAATTGATGTCCTTGGTTGTCTGTATGTAGTGATATGAGGGAGTGGATATCATGTCTTTTGACAGCTAGCTTATGTTCGTGGATACGAAGACGAAGGGGACGTCCACTTTGGCCAATGTAGTGTTTTTCGCAGTTGATGCAATCTATTTTGTAGATGATGTTGGTTTTATCTTCCTTCGCTGATGATTACAGACGCACATAATCGGATCAAGAAATATCAACAAATAATAGATGTCCAAAAAGAAAAACTAGAGAAAACCCTCAACCAGGAACACCTATCAACGCTGATCACCGCAATTACATTGTCAAGTAGAAAACACAGAGAACAAAGACGAAGAGTCCTCAAAACCAAGCTAGCCAAGATTAGAAAACAACAACCAGACAATACACCTATAGACTGCGTAGTCAACCTATCAAAACAACCACTATCAAAAATGGAACAACAACTACTACAGAAAGGATTAAACTACAACACCGGAGATGCCTCAAAAACTGATTTCTTCGCTGCCCTTGAATCATTACTAAAATCATCAAACTTAAAGGAGGAAACACAGGAAGAGATACGCCAAACAATTGTACCAATGGTCAAACAGAAAAAACAACACACACAACTCAACTCTCAAGAACTAAAGGCCCTCAGAAAGCTGAAAAACAGGAAGGACATCGTCATTCTACCAGCCGACAAAGGAAGAACAACAGTAATCATGGACAGAGAAGAATACACCAAGAAAGCTAAAGAACTACTCAAAGACGAGGATGTGTATCAACAACTCCCAACAAATCCCATACAAACACTGGACAACCGCATCCAAAGGACTTTAAACAAGCTTACCAAAACAGGAGAAATCACAAAACAAGACCAATGGCGGATGAAATCCAGTGGACCAGTCCTACCCCGATTCTACGGCAGACCCAAAATACACAAGCCAAATATCCCGTTACGACCAATTGTATCACTACCAGGAACTCCAACATACAATTTATCCAAAGAATTATACAGAAAATTAAAGCACCTAACGGAATCTTGTGATCACTCCATCAACTCCGCTATCCAATTCCTAGAGAAAATCAGAGGCATCCAAATAGATGAACAAGAGATAATGATATCTTTTGACGTCACAGCATTGTATACCTCAATCGGACAAAAACTAGCAAAAGAAACCATGGAGCAATTACTTAGCAACGACGAACACCTTCCACAAAAATCAAAAATGCAACACACAAGTTGGATGGAATGCATAAACCTATGTCTAACAACGTACTTCCAATTCAACGGCCAAATATATGAACAAGTCAAAGGAACACCTATGGGATCGCCAATATCAGGTTTGATTGCAGAAGCAGTGATGCAAAGGCTCGAGAACATAATTCTACCAAAGATCAAACCCAAGATTTGGATACGCTACGTAGACGACACATTTGTAATTATCAAAAGAAACGAGTTAGATAAAGCTCACAACCTGATAAACAACGTCTTCAACGACATCAAATTCACCAGAGAAGAGGAATCAGAAAACCAAATCCCATTTTTGGACGTCTTAGTCAAGCGAACAACCACAGGGGAATTAGAAACTCAAGTTTATAGAAAATCAACTCACACAGACCAAATACTGAATTACAACAGCAACAATCCAATAACACACAAGAGGAATTGCATACAAACACTATTCAAGAGAGCCAGGACTCATTGCAGCACTCCCACCTCAAGGAAAATTGAAGAAAAATATCTCATGGACGTCTTCCAAAAGAATGGATATCCAAGGAATTTCATCAAAAGAAATATACCTCCAAGCCAACCTATCAAACCAAAAGCCCCCAAGGAAAGCACAAAGAAAATCGCCTTACCATATATAAAAGGCATCTCAGAAATCACTACAAGACTCTTCAAACCTTTAGGAATTGACGTCGTACACAAACCAACAAAGTCACTTCACTCAATTCTATGTCAACCAAAAGACTCAACAGCGAAGGAAGATAAAACCAACATCATCTACAAAATAGATTGCATCAACTGCGAAAAACACTACATTGGCCAAAGTGGACGTCCCCTTCGTCTTCGTATCCACGAACATAAGCTAGCTGTCAAAAGACATGATATCCACTCCCTCATATCACTACATACAGACAACCAAGGACATCAATTCGACTGGGACAACGTTCAAATACTAGACAGAGGAAACAACAAGAATGCTAGAGAATTTTTAGAAGCTTGGCATTCCAGTGAATCATCAATCAATAGACACATCGAGATAGACAAAATTTATCAACCGATAAGAAAGAAACGTCACACACAAAGGGTCAAAGTTCAAGTCAAAGAAACAATGAGTGACAATACAAGTAACCTAGAAGGTGTGAAAACAGACAAAAACAACCAATCACGTCCAAGGTCGCCAGGAGAGATGATTAATAAACTCGTGGAGAAATCTAAAAGCTCACTTCAAATTGAAGTATGCGCTGAAGATGTCACCCAGTAGGGTGATGAAAGCTTCGCAAATTAACTATCCAGCTCAGAGAACACAACAACATCAAAAGAAAGAACTGTTCATGAAACTTCAATTTAATGGGGACATGGCTAGTGAAGTCTTACATCTGAGATTATCGAGAGCGATAAAACGGACTTATACTGCCGCCACCCTTTGTTTGTCATTTTCCAGCCAACCAATTTTGATTGCTCAAGTGAAAGATAAGCTACCTAGCTGTGCCACTTCGATGTGTATCTATAAATTTAGTTGCTCCTGTGGAGAAAGCTATATAGGGCGAACAACTAGACAGCTGAACAAACGCATTAATGAGCATCTTCCTTCATGGTTCGGAAAAGGTCAAATAAAACCTATAAGAAGTTCTATTTTGGCTCATTTGATTGATAGCGGTCACCAAGTGGACAAAAATAGTGCCTTCAAAGTTATCTGTCACATTCCATCGAGCCTTTCGAACGAATTTGAACCCGTCTTTTACACATAGCCGAAGCTATGGGAATTCGAGAGAACCATTCTAGTCTTTCCATACAACAGAAGTTTGTTCTACCTTTGTCTCTCCCTTGGTCTAGGGAGATTCTAATTAAAACCCTCCCACGCTTTTTTATTTTCCATTTCCTTCGCACTTTTATCATATTTCGTTAAACTTTGACTATCTATCCACTTCATCTTTAGTATTACGTAACTTTTAAGATTTGACCTAATTTATTTATTTATTGAATTGTCTACATATACACATAATGCTACCTTTGTTATTCTTATCGCCACCTGCATAAACCTTATTATCAATATTTTGTTATCATTATAATCATCGTTATTAACTACGTTCAAAACATTTACCACATTATTATTATCATTATTATTATTTGATCCTCAAAATCACCGTCATGGGTTAAACTTTTCGTATATAAATCTATGTAAACTAGAGTAAAGCATGAAGAAGATCTAACTGAAAACAATATTGTTCGCTTATATGTCTTGTTCTAATAATTGCAGTGTCCAAGAAATTATTACTTGTATGGACTTTGGATGCCTGTTAGGAACAACAAGATTTTTAAAGCTGAAAATATTAGGTGGATTCAAATTCATTTTCCAAGAAACAGACTGTTTGAAGACAGTTTGAGTAGTTAGCATAGACAGTGTTAGCTGTGAAAGTTTAGTTGGCTGAGGTAAATCATTTCAGGTGTACCTGTGAACTTGTCGGTTTAAAATAAGTTATATAGTGGTGCATGATCTACCCTGAACTTAATTCTGACTGACCATTGTTATTATTCAAAATCATGCTGCTGACTATGGTAGGAATTTACAGCAAAATATCTCAAGGTGAATTCACTAGTTGTTCCCTGAAAAAATTCATCAGTACTCCAAAATTACACATATAAATGAAAAGTGTGACTGTCTATTTGAACTTCTTAGTTGCAATATTTTTGGTTGACATTTGGTCTACTGAAAAGTTAGTAAGTAGTCGAAGATTTTAAACGAAAATAGATCGCTTACTAGCCGGATTATATCGTAGATCAATTTCCTGTAGGATAAGAAACAATAAAGAATATTTAATACGACTAATAGGAAATTGAAAAGCAGACTATAGATTCGTGATATCATTTTGAATACATTGGAGTCTTATGATATGATTTCAGCTAATATGCGATTCCGCACACACTTTTCAGTGATTCTGAGCATGATTATCATAAAAACTGGTACATTATGTTGATTCTGTTTTTTTTTATGAACACGCTTCACACACTGCTCATCTAAATCACTGACTTGTGGCTAAACCATCTGTTAGAAAGGTTAGTTTTATTCTACATTTGAGGAATGAAACCTACGCCTTAAGCTTTTCAGTTAAATGTATATGGTAGTGAAGCTCATTGAAAACTTATCTGAATTCATAGGTAGAGTAGTTGTGACGTGGAACATCAGTTTGTCATTGCATATAAAAAGAATAAACTGCCATTATTCATTTTAAATTAAAAACTAATGAATATATCTTTAGGAAACGGGTAATATGTATTGGGACATGAATGCAGATAAATCCAGCAACTATATCGGGAAATTTATTTAGTCGTTGAGACTAATAGCATATAGTTTTTGTTTTTTCAAGTTCGTTTTACGTTAATTTTCATTTTTTCCTTTGATAGGACCAAATTCGGTTCAACGTCGTCGAGGTCGTCAAACCTATAGCCGCTATCAAACATTAGAGCTGGAGAAGGAATTTCAATATAGTCATTATCTAACACGTAGGAGAAGAATTGAAATAGCTCATAACCTCTGCTTAACTGAACGTCAAATTAAAATCTGGTTCCAAAATAGACGAATGAAACTGAAAAAGGAACGTCAACAAATAAAAGAATTGAATGATGAAACAACACGTCAAACAACTACAGATCCTGTACATCATAGTCGACGTCACATGGACTCATCCCATCAATACTTTGGAATGATGAATGCAAATACCAATAATAGCAGTTATTATTCAACAAATTCAAATTCTGGGATTCTTGACTCAAAAGACAACTGCCAACTTGACTGCAAGCCTCTCTCCTTACATAAAAAATCTGGTTTAATTCCAAAATTACTAGATAGTAATATGCAACCTGAATCAATGATATCGGGTGGTTTCCTTCCTGTATTAAATAGAGGACTTCAGTCTAGTATGAACTATCCTGGAGGTCAAGATCCACTTAGACATGGCAGTTCAGAAGACTGTGAACAAATGGATAGTGAAGACGATGAAGATGATGATGATTTCTGTGAATCAGATGATTTACAAGGATCTAAAGTTTCTAAACTTGCGCATGAATTCATTAATCCTCATTTAATTAGAACAAATATACTACGCGAAAAATAATGTTATTAGTCAATGAAGCCTCTTCCTAACGATAGAATTCACATTACATACATATACAACAACACATGATGCAGGCAAAATTAGTATACATGACACATTTTCACCGATTAAGTGTATTATTCTGAATCCCTAGTTTACCGCTAAATTTCTCCCTATTTTCCCCAAAACTGTATGTTATAATTTATGCGAGAAATAAATCAATTCAGGAGGAACGTTAACCTGAAATAAACACCTATATATACATATAAATATCACAAGTACCTATTAATCCTGAAAAAAAAAACAACCTAATAAAGTCTTCGAAACACTTTTAATAAATTGTATGAAAACCTTTTCCCAATTTTTCATCTAAAACCACTACTTGTTAATTTAAAAGTAGTATTCATAAAAAAATTCTCTGACTTGTTAATAAATATATATAAAAAGTGAACTGTGTTTTAGAGTGAGCTGGTTTTTGCTCAAAAAACTAATTGTTTCATCAATTTTCTGAATGAATTTTTTGAGTAAATATCCCTTGTATTCATACAAGTTCAGAAAGGATTACTGGGAAATGTACGGCGGAAATTTACATAATTGTTTTGCTAGTTCTGTGGTGAGAAATGTGCACTGTGATTAGCTACATGTCCGACAAACTGTCTAAGAGTTAAGTGGGTCACACACATCTTTGCGCAACAATCTTAAATAACTTCAATCGCAAATCTATGAGAGCTATTCAACAGCGTTGAATTGAGAGAACAATCCTGGTAATCACGGTAGATAGCATAATTTATTGACTTTAGTAAAGAACAATAGCTTTAAAATTTGTTTACACTATAGAATTGTTTTCTTTAAGAGTTCGATTAATTGACTATCAAACTGTACACTGAAGCCATAGTTAAGCACTTGAAGGGATTGATCGGCTAGAAGCTGTAAGGCTGAACTTTGAGCTTGCGATGTCATTCGACGGTTTCCTCAACGCATGCTCGACCCGTCTCCATTTTCTCCTACATATATGTTGAGCTATCGGCTCTTACTTGGCTTGTTACCAGCCAGAGTTTCTTGTTACTTATCCTTTTTGGCCATTTGATCTTCAGTATGGAGTCAGCGAAGTCATCTGGTGATAAAAGTTTGCAACCTGTTAGAAGTCCTTTGCGTGATGTGCAGTGCAAGTTTCTGACCCGTATAGAAGAACTGACTGACTTTACATTGGTGTTGAAAATCCGAATCTTGTTCTTTATGCTGAGGTGGAGTGCAGAAGATTTCCAAACAGTTTTCAGGTTGATGAAGGCGTATCTCACCTTTCCCATTCTGGTTGGCTGGCTTTGACATATTCATCCGTTCTGCCGGTAGTTGAAACGATGCTTCACAGGTAAGTGAAGGAGGTAACATCTGTTAAATCTCTCCCGTTGATTGGTGCTTGTTATTGTTGCTATTGATTGGTTATCTTCATCACCTCTGTCTTCTCTGTGTTCACCTGCAGTCCTGTTTTCGCTGCCAGCCAGAATCTTCTGCCACTTTGGTGATTTTCACCTGTAAGTTTTCGAGTCTGTGTGGTGTTAAACGTAAATCATCCACACGCGAGATCCAGATCTTCCAGAGTCTTCTTATTGGTGGTCCAGCGTGTTCCTGTCTTGTCACTTCCATGCACATTCTGACGTGTAATCCAGTTCGTGACAATTAAGAATATCATCGGTGATAATAGGCAGCCAGGTTGTCTTACTCCTGTATTCATTTTGAAGGCCTTGCTGAGTTATCTGTTGTGGATCACCTGAAACGTGGCATTATCATAAAGACTTGGTCACTGCACGCCGTAGTGTTGAAGCAGTTTCCAAATTACTTCTTGGTCAACTCTGTCTGTCAAATGGCTTTTCGAAGTCAATGAAGTTGCGGCAGAGTAGGAGTTGACTGCAATTCTATGCTTTGTTCTGTGATGACGTTGCGTGGAGTTGCAATTTGATCAGCATATGATTTATCATTCCTGAATCCAGCTTGTTCCGGTGAGGGGCGGAGTTCTGTATCCAGTGCATCTTTTATTCTTCCCAGGATGATGCGGGTTAGTATTTTACTTGGATTGGATAAAAGTAATATTCCACATCAGTTCTTGCAGGGGCAAGCGTAAGTCGCCACTATTTGGCATTTTGACGTGTTAACCAGCCTTTCTTCCAATCGGCAGGCACCTTTCCTCCCTTACAAACCTTCTAAAATAATGGCGCTAGCATGTCTGCCGCTATCTCTGGGTACGTTTACAGTGCTTCGGGTCCCGCTACCTTCCCGGACTTCAGTAGCTTGATCGCATTCAGGACTTCTGCTTTCGTTGGAAGATGTGTCCACTGACAGACAGTTCTGTGAGTGCTTTAGTGGTGGTATTTCTGAACGAGTTGCAGGTGATGGTCAATTCAAGAGTCCCTTAAAGTGATCAGCCCATTGTTTTATTTGTTTCTCCTCCTTGGCAATCAGGTTCCCTTGAGCATCATTTATTGGTTTCATCATCTGGGTTGACCTCTTCCTGATAGAGACCTGGTTCTGTGATATAGTGTCCTGAAATCTCTTTTACCTAAGACCTGCCTGTTATGCCTTAGTTGCCAGTGTGTCGTAGAATTGTCTTTTATCTTTCCTACCACTCCTCTTCACTTCTTTATTCAGTGCAGCGTGCATTGAACTCAGCTTCTCTTCTCTTTTCCATCTTTGCACTGAGTAGTCATCTTTTCTTTCACCATCGTCCTCTCCTTGACTAGCTTCCAGGTAGACGTCCGTTGACAGCCATTACTTTCTTGTCTCTTCTTGCTTCCTAGAACAGTTGTATAAGTTTCCCTGAACATCACCTTCAGAGAGTTAGTTCCGATGTTCTTCCACTCAGGTTTCCTCGGTGATAACACGTAGTGTTATCTGATCTGATCTGTAGTGAGGGTATCTCTTGTAGTTTTGTCCTTCAGTTTCTAAATAATGTACTTGAATCTGATATTTCTCTAATGAGGCATAATGCTGATGCTAAATATTTAGATAACTCGTACGTTGGGGTGTTCCTAAAGTCAACTGATGGTCTGACAGGGTTTCCTGCTCTTATATTATTACAGTTTTAACCCACTTTAGTTCACTGGAGGTAAAATGTAGAACAATGATAAAACGTGATCACAATATACAGATGAATCAAAATATTAAGTTAGTAAAGTATAAAATTACTGTAGTACTCATGTATGGAATGTGACCAAAGTTTTCAGATCTGCTTGAAAATTCCAATGGAATAGACGATGGAGTATTTCACGAAAATGTTTGAAACTGAAATTCGCGAAGTTGAGAAACAACGTTGTTGCTACTAGTGAGGTTTAAAAAAATGTTTAACAATACTCCTTTCCTCTTCTGAAATAAAAGATAAGACGAGATGATTCTAAACAAATCGATATCACCTAAAATTGTACTACTGAATTCCCGCGAGGACCAACAAATTGGCAGAAGAAGCTGTGAAGGCAGGACCTCAAGTACAAAGCAGGAACACAGAAGTAATAAAGATAGCAAGTATCAACCACTATCAAAGGAAGAAATTAAAAGGAAGTTACTTCTTACACTTATCTAGGGAGTATCGTTTAACCCCTGATGGCACATATGAAGATGTCAAAGGAAGGATCGGAAAAGCAGCATAAACATTAACTAATCTGAAATCAGTTTAGGGAAGCCTCTGCACACAGCAAAAAGAAAAAAACTTCGGATTCTCAGCGCTAATGTCAAATCGGTCAGTGCTTCTGTGTAGAGCATTACCTAGAGCTTTTCCAAAAAAACGGCTGCAGACTTTAATCGAAACTTACCCTCACTTCATATTGAAGATCAGATGGCCAGGAAGGATTAGGGACAAAGAACTCTGGCGGACAGTGAATCAACCAAGAACTCACTGACTAACAGATATGTTAAAGGAAACGGAGATGGATTAGATGTACGCTAAGGGGACTGTTTGGTGACACAGCACTCCAGGTAGGACCTCGAATGGGACCCAAATGGGTGATGACGAGTTAGGCCTAGACCTAAGGGTGACATGGAGATCATGTGAGGAGAAGATGAGAGCTTATTAGAAATTGTGTAGCCAGCTAAAGAGGAGTGCAGACAGCGAAGTGAAATGCAGACATTCTGCTGAAGCCCTGTGTACCACTAGGAACCTAAAACAATAATAACAATAGCACTAAATTCAGATAATACTTAAATTCATACATTATTCCCCTATATAAAGTGTCACAGCTTTTTCACGTTTATTGATTGGAGAAGAAACAAATCGAGAACCATAAATATCCTTGATAGCTTGTTTTGACTTTTTATTTTCAAATTTTTTTGACTGAAAGATTAAGGTAGGGTTATGAAGTGATATTGATCGTGTAATGTATGATATAAATTATTATTTATGTGATATTTACATCTGATGCATTTGGGAAGATGTTATGCATTATTTACATTCCATTTTAAAAAGGATGTGTTAGTAGAAGGATAAAATGTAGAATAAAATGAATATTTCATACATATTGTTCCCTTGATAAGTTTCGATAAAGAAAGAAAGACTAGATTTGCAGTATAAAATGATATCATCATTATATTTCAAAGGCTCTCATCAACTGCAAACTACCTCAAAATTACAATGGTTATAAATAATGACAGTTGCATACTTCAGTGTTTGAATAGTAGTAAAGAAAGCATTATAAAACCAACGCGTCCAAAATATTAGCATTACAATGTTTGATTTGAGCTACCATCAATGTATATGCTTTCAGAATAGAAAAGGGGGGAGAAGATAGGAAACAGAAAAGTCTAATAAACAGTGACAAGCTTTTACTTTAGACTATCTTACTTTACCTTTTGTTTCTAAACGTCGATATAGTTTTCAAGAGTTGGTCTGTAGGGATTTGATTTGATATCAGTCAGAGAACCACTGAAATCCATCACGGAGTACTAGACAGCTGTTTCATCCTGCTTTGATACCTATCGGCAGTACCCACTCACCACCAGGGTTCTAACCTAGCACCTCCCGGTTAAAAAGGAGGGTCGTAGACTTTTCAGTCACTGGGACCTGACTCATTAGTCAGTTCACGAATTCTAACTTCTACCGATTCATGATTTTAACACAGACACCAGTCAGTGTTGTCGGCGAGTATCTGTCCTCATTTCTGACCGATTGGACCCCGTTGGTGATGACCTCTCAATAGATCTTCAGGTAAATTCATCCTGTAGTCAGTCACTTGTGAGCATCAGATTAATTTTCCTTTTAGAAATGCAAAGGAAGCTGAAAAATGTCTCATTCATTTTTTCGCCTAACTTTCTTGAATACTGCTAGTGAATAAAATATTCTGTTCGATTAACATTTTTGCTCCCCTCTAAAAGTTATGCATTGGTGATATTTAGCAAAGCAATACACTCGTGGTAACAGTAGTAAAGATTTAGTGACAC